AAAAAAAAAAAAAAAAAAAAAAAAAAAAAAAAAAACCACACTTCATTCGTATTTCTATGTTAATTTGGATAGTATTGAACAAGTACCCTGATGATTGCCTATTAGCTTCTGGAGTTGCAATAATTTCTTATAATTCTTATTTTCCATATTCTTTAAAGAGCAGTTTATCAATAGCTTATTTTTCTTTATTGTTTATTTGCAGCACTGGTGATTGAACACACTGGGCTCAACTACTGAGCCACACCCCAAGCCCTTTTCACTAATTTATTTTCCTTTCAGGACTTGATCTTGCTAAATTGTCTAGGCTGGGCTCCAACTTTCACTCCTCCAGCCTCAGCTTCCTGAGTAGCTGCGATTACAAGTATGTACCATGGCATCTGGCTCTATATTTATTATCTAAAAGAAAATTATTTATAGTAATCTGTGCGGTCTGTCATTTTTTCAATATTTAAACTTTTATCTCAGTTTGCATATACTTATTTTGCTTTCTTTTATTTATCCCTATCTTCTTCTTCTTTTTTTTTTTTTCAGTACTGGGGATTGAACTCAGGACCTTGCACTTGCAAGGCAGGTGAGAGAGCCACTGAGCTAAATCCCTGGCCCTCTTATGTTTTTTAACAGTAATGATGGCAGTTTATCAAGTGCTTCTCATATAGGCAGAGGGTGCTGGCACTTTCCATGACAGTCACCTCCATGACCATCACGAGTTCAGTCTTCTATGCTGAGAAAGCGCAGCTCTCACCATCGAAGTTTAGCTGTGATATTGCTTCTTTGGGACTGCTTCAAACACTGGCTTCTTCCAAGTGATATCCCTGTCTTCTTCAAAGGGGTAGTCAGTTCGTCTATAGTCATTTTTTTTTCTTGGTGGGTTTCCTTTTTGTTTTTGGCTTGCTGAGGCTGAAGCCCAGGGCCTCAACCATGCTAGGCCAAAGGTCTACAACTCTACTACACCCCTACCTACCTTCTCTACTTCAAAGTTACTGTACTATTTTTTGCTTTGTAATCTAAGGAGATGTAGTGGTGAGCTACTTGATATTACGTAAATATCCCATTCTCCATAAAGATTCTATTTATGTGTTCCTTTTACTCCTATAAATACAGACTCATAGTTTCCTTTTATGTGATAGGTTGTAATATATACTTTCATCACTCATTTTGATTTTTTTGAAAAAATAATTATAGATTTGCATGCAGCGGTAACAGATATTGCACAGAGAAGTCCTGTATGCTCTTTCCTAGATTCCTGAAATGGTAGCATATGGCCTACCTAAATAGTACAATAGCAAAGCCAGGAAGCTGGCATGGGTCCAATCTCCAGAATTTATTCAGATTTCACCAGTTTCCTGTGTACTCATTTGTTTGAGTTTCTTCCCTTCGGTCATATCCCATGTAACCACCATGACATTTAAGATGCAAGATGGTTCCATCCCTCAAAACTCCCTGTTCTTTCCTTTTATGACAGAACAGGCCCAAGTTTCCCACCACCCTAGTCCCTGGAAGTGCCTGGTGGAGACTTCCTTTATTTTGAGATTATTGTATAAATAAAATCATATATATGTGACTTTTTGAGATTGGCTTTTTCACTCCACAAAATTCCATAGAAATCTCTGTGTCTAGCTTGTTCCTCATAACTGCACAGCCGTGCTTCATAGTGTGGATGTACCACAGCTTGTTTAAATGCCCAATGAAATTTGGGTTAATTCCCATTGGGGGGTTGCCACGGGGTGGGGGTGGGGTTACCATGCTGGCTGCCAAGCTCCTGGGTGCTGCTGGCTGCAGGGACTCCAGCTGCTGGGAGCCAGGACAGTCCAGGCATGCACTCTGCACAGTGTCATGACTGAACTCTGGGGCCTAGGCCTGGGGCACCTGGCGACCTCTGGAGAACTCAACTCCCTCAAGTAAGTGGACGGACCTCTTTGTGCTGTGAGAAAGAAGATTTCATCATCTTTTTGGCAGACCAGAATGCACCCTATTTTCAACTCAAACTAAAGGTATCCTTAAATAATCATAGTACATTTTAAAGATGTGTTGTCTCTGGTGATTTTTTTAAAAAGCATTTTAAAAAACTGTTGTTATATATGCTTATTTCAAATAGCTATCACTAGCTATATGATACTGCCTAGGAAGCCAACAACAGACAAAGAGAACCACAATGCACTTTTTGAAGAGCTTCCCCGATAAACTGATAATGAGCAAGTGATGTATCTTAGATAAGCAGTGCACTTTGCTTTACATTAGGATAATATTCAGTAAATCTTATCCCTGCTTCTTCTGAGTAGTAATTCAAAATCTGCCTAGCTCTCATATACCTTCTCAAAATTTTAGGCAGCCAATATTTCTGCTACTGAGTCACAAAGCTATGGGAATGTTAATTAGCTTAATTTTATTAATTTTTGCTTTGCTTCAAATAGTGCAGCATTTTCTTCCTTTTTATAGTAGCTTGTCCTTTTAAATACATTTTTTGTTTTGCATTTCCATCACATTTAATATTTTTCAATCTATTTTAATAACAGATTTTTTTTATAAAGCCAAAGTATTGACATCTTTGATGGAATATTATGTGCAAATCACTTGAAAACACTCATTTTCTAAATGTTCAGCCATTTCTCTTAATTTCAATTTAAATAAACACACCAGTTTGATATAATATTCAAATTGTTTTTGAAGCTCTGTCACTTAAGGATACCCATGAGGCCTAATGACTCTAATTTAATTATTTCAATATCCAGCTCTTCAGATAGATTGTAATTCTCTTTGATGGTATTATGTGTGCTTGCAAACAGTCTATTTAGAAAAGATTTAAGAGGCAGGTGCCAGAACCATTGAGCTAAATCCCCGGCCCCTAGAAAAGATTTAAGAGACTTACCTACGAGATTTAAGAGACTATCTTTTCATAACACTCGTGGAAAACTGAAATATGTTGACTTAATATTACCTAATGGAGTGATTTTCATATGATTAGTGGAAATAACCAAATTGTAGCTTATCAAAAAATAGGGGATTTTTAATATTATTTATAAATGATGCACCCCTTGGTAATTACTGGAAAGCATTAAAGTAAATATGGTTTGGATATCTCACAAGGCCTTTTCTAAAGTTTGTGTATAATAATTTAAGTGCATTCTTTAATAGTTCTGTGTATTTTTGTTCCTCTGTGTAATGTGTTGCATGTACTCTGGCTTCTATGTGTTTATAATCTTATTAGAGTAATGATGATGGAAAAATGTGTAAATAAAAATATTTAAATGCACAGGACTCCTTTGTTCCACATGAATTGGTCTTGCTTCTTATTCTGACAGTGCAACTTATACTTTTGCAAATGCATAACAGAAAGTTATTAAATATGCACCATTATTGCAGTAGTTCAGGGGTCTCATTGTTGGCATACAATATAGGAATTGAGCCACTCAGGTTTTAGAATTGCAGTAAGACAGACTTGCCTGAAACTCCTGGTTCAATAACTTACAAAGTTATTGTTTGAATTTGGCTATAGCTTAACCTTTATACATTCAATTGTGTTTACACAATGGGGGACTTACATACCTACTTACTTGAGTTACTGTAAACGTTAAATGGGGTCATTTTTATAAAGTCCTAAGCATGGAACCTAGCACAGAATAAGTGTCCAATAAGTAGTAGCTGTCATTAGTATTTTTCAGGAAATTTCATTAGACTTCTGCAATCAATTATCAAAATCTATAAAATTGGTAGAATTTTACTTTTAGGTATGAGGAAATTATACTCTCTGGAAAACTGAAATTCTTGGTGGTTCACATTTACTTGCTCTTAGTAAGTAAAAGTTAGAGTACTCTCCAAGAATAAATGAGCCCTAAAAACTTTCATTTGAAAGCTAATATTTATCAGGTGGTAATGAAGAGTATTTGGTTTCTTAAAAGGAATTTGCTGTAAGCAGCATCTGGGAATACAAATCTTCATCGCGTTTCTGTCTTGAAAGACTTGGAAAAGTGTACAATTTACATTCAAAGCTCAATGCAAATTTTATATCATGAACTTCAAAAAGACTTAAAAGTAAGATTGAAAAACAAGTGGATACGTCAAGGCTAATACTTTTCTAATATGAAAATAGACCTGATAGCTCTAAAACAAAAATTTCTCTGCAATTCTTCGTGTTATTTTCTTCTTTAGTTTACTGACAGAAGCATGTGTTTATTTACTTTGCATCTAAGCATGTTAACGTGCCTCCTTAGTAAATACTATTCCTTACTGAAAACAACAACAGCAACAACAAAAAACCTCACACCACTGTCCCACTGATTCACTGCGTCTCCACAAGGGGTGTAGACAGCCTCAGCTCCCTTGGTTCCGCCCCCTCGGAAGACCCGCCCCCTGGGAGGAGCCAAGGGGCGGAGAGCCCGCCCACCTCCTAAGGTGCCCAAGCCTCTTCCAAGGGCCACTTGGGGGTGTAAGAACACGTTTTAGAGCCATTGAATCTGCGCATTCGCTCAAACGATCTCGAGGAGCGAGGAGCGACAGAAGGCAGAGGCCTTAGGCAGAAGGCGACCTTGTGTGCGCAACTCACCTCGACAACTGCTTCTCTCAGGGATGGCAGAACCGGTTAGTGGTGGGCCCCGGGACTGTAGTCCAAGTTGTGGCGATATGTGCGGTCGGTAACGGAGAGTGTGGCGAGGAGCGAGGGATGAGGGCCGAGGGCCGAGGGATGACGGGATGAGGGCCGAGGGATGAGGGTCGAGGGCCGAGGGCCGAGGGATGACGGGATGAGGGCCGAGGGCCGAGGGATGAAGGATGACGGGATGAGGGCCGAGGGATGAGGGTTGAGGGCCGAGGGCCGAGGGATGACGGGATGAGGGCCGAGGGCCGAGGGCCGAGGGCCGAGGGATGAAGGATGACGGGATGAGGGCCGAGGGATGAGGGCCGAGGGCCGAGGCATGAGGGATGACAGGATGAGGGCCGAGGGATGAGGGCCGAGGGATGACGGGATGAGGGCCGAGGGATGAGGGCTGAGAGCCGAGAGATGACAGGATGAGAGCCGAGGGCCGTCAGATGACAGGATGAGGGCCGAGGGCCGAGGGATGACGGGATGAGGGCCGAGGGATGAGGGCCGAAGGCCGAGGGATGAGGGATGAGGGCCGAGGGCCGAGGGCCGAGGGATGACGGGATGAGGGCCGAGGGCCGAGGGATGAGGGCCGAGGGATGAGGGCTGAGAGCCGAGAGATGACAGGATGAGAGCCGAGGGCCGTCGGATGACAGGATGAGGGCCGAGGGATGAGGGCCGAGGGCCGAGGGATGAGGGATGAGGGCCGAGGGATGAGAGCCGAGGGCCGAGGGATGACGGGATGAGGGCCGAGGGCCGAGGGATGAGGCCCAGGGCCGAGTGGTGGACCGTCTTCGGGGTGAGGGATTACATTAGGGCTTCAGGTCACCGTTGGATAGTTTTTTGGTTTTCGTGCTTGGTTGGTTGGTTGGTTGGTTTTCCTCCTGGCGTCTTTTGCCCTATTATGAAGTATTCCTGGTGAAATAACTGCCATTTCCTTTATAGAGAATAACAGGGCCAGAACACGTATCCCCAAATACAATAGCCAAATACATTTCTTTCTCTGAAATTTATTTCAGTTTTTCATAGGTCCAACAGCTCAAGTTTATTGAGTATTTGAAGGTCAGCCGGGAAACCTCTCTTTTCACAAAGTTGCGTGTCACTTTCCTTTCTGCCATTTGCTCCTCTAGTCCCTAAGTTTTTAAACATTGGCTGTCCCTTATAATAGGTATTATGTTCTGACAAGGGTCAACCTGGTCTTTTTAGTAAATGGAAGAGATGATTTGGATGTGCCTAACCATTAATATGAGGCTGGCCATTAGTTTGAGATGAACATTATAATTAGCTAAAGAAATATGCAGACCGGGCATAGGGACCCATGCCTGTCCTGCCAGCATTTGGGAGGCTGACCATGAGGGTTGGAAGTTTGAACCCCACTGGGCAATTTAGAGAGAACCTGCCTCAGAAAAAGAAATTTAAAAAGGAACTAGGGATGTAGCTCAGTGTGTATGCCCTATCATCATCAGTCTCCAGTACTTCAAAATGAGAGAGAGAGAGAGAGAGAGAGACACGGAGGGAGAGACGGAGGGAGGGAGGGAGAGAGAGAGAGACACGGAGGGAGAGACGGAGGGAGGGAGGGAGGGAAAGAGAGGTCAATTTGGGTTGTGCTTGTTTTTTGGCCAAAGGTAGTTTCCTTTGCTTTGGTTTTCCTTCGGGATATCCAGTTGCTCTAGCTCCATTGGTTTGAAAATTGCTCTCCTCCATCATTTACCTCTGCACCTTTGTCAAAAATCAAGTGAGAGGCTGGACGTATGTAGTTTAGGGAGAGCACGCATTCTTTGGATTCCTGAGGACCCCAGTCCCATCCCCAGAACCACAAAAAAGAATCGGTGGAACATTTTCATGTACATATTCATACAAATATTAAACAACCTATAATCTTAAGTTACCATGTAATTTGTAAAGTTATGAATAAAATAATAAGCAGTGTTTCATCATTTCTGGTCCGTTTTGTTGTGTCTCCCTTTAGGTATGGGGCAAGTTTCTGAGGTTACTCCCTGACTGGCTGGGTTTGGTAGCCTTAACATCTCTAAATTTTATCGATGGTAGATACTGAGTTTAGTTAAAGTTGATATTGTGTGACATTGCGCTGGTAGATGTAGATACGTATTACATTCTTATTTTTCTTTTTATTGCTGAAGATTGAACCCGGGGCTCCACATATGCTAAGCATGTGCTTTACTACTGTGCAACACACCCAGCTCCTTGAATTCTCTTCTAATAAACTAGAAAGGTCATTTACAAGTAATCAGGGCCGGGCAATGTAGTTTAGTGGGAGAGCACTTGCCCACCACACGCAAGTCTCCTGATTGGATCTTGACTTATAAAAAAGAAAAGGAAAAAGTATCACAATCGGGTGTAGCTGGGCGTGATGGTACACTCCTGTAACTCCAGCTACTATCAAGATTTAGGAAGACATGTGGCTTCAGCCCAGGAATTCAAGACCAGCCTGATCAACTACTACTAAATTGCTGTCTCTCTGTGTATCTTTGCCTCTGTTTTAGCAGAGGGCCGTACCAGGCATTGAACCTAAGTTCTTCACACTGAGCTACATTTTGACCGTGTTTTCATTTTCAGACATGGTCCGGCTAAGGTGCTGTTTCTTAGGCTGGGTGCAAACTTGAAATTTTCCTTCTCCTGTCTTAGCCTCACAGACAGCTGGGGTTACAGTCCAGGGCTGCTATGCTCAGATATAAGTGGTATTTTTTTAAATGTTCAGTTTCCACATGATCATTCTTAGAATATAGAAATATGATTGATGTTTCTATGTTTGTTTGTGTATTTGTTTTTTGGTGCCAGGGATCGAACTTGGACCCTTGCCAGGCAGGTGCCAGAACCACTGAGCCAAATCCCCAGCCCTGACGTTTCTATGTTAATATGTATCCTGAGGCGTTTGGCATACTGTACTCAGTTACAATTTTCAAGTTTTTTTTCACTTTTATATAGAGTCCTTTTTTTCTATATATAAATGTATTTCTTCCAACAATAGAGACAGCCTCATTTTTTTCTTTTGAATCTTTATGCCTGTTATTATTTATTTCTTCTAGAGACCGGGTCTCATTAGATATTTCAGGCTAGCCCGGAATTCCTCGATTCAAATGATCCTCCTGCCTCAGCCTCCCAAGTAGCTGGGAGTATAGTCATATGCCACTTGTCCTGCACTCTTATATTTCTTTTTTTCGCATTATGGGGTTAGCTAGAATTTTTAACAGTGGGAAGAATTTTAGTGGTGAAAGTAGACATCCTTGTCTTTTCCCCAATTTTAGGAGGAAATCATTCAGTGTTTTCACATGAAATATGATGTAAACTGTAGGTTTGTATTTTTTAGGGCTGTGAAATTTCCACTGATTTAATAATGAATATTGGAGTCTATTAAATTGTTTTTCTGAGTTAATTGATAATTTTGTTTATTAGCCTTGCTCTTGTTTATTTGTTTTTGCTTTTGTTAGTTGATTCCTTTTGAGGCTTGGTCTCAGTGTGTAGCCCCACCTGCGCTCAAACTTGGAGTCTTCTTCCTTTAGCATCCCGAATGCTGGGATTACCTGTGTTTGCCCCCTCACCTGGCTCTAATCTATCTGCCTTTTTCTCTTTCTCAGTCTATCTTTCTTTCTTTCTTTCTTTCTCTCTCTCTTTCTTTCTTTCTCTCCTTCCTTCCTTCCTTTTTTTATTCACGGATAATATGTCTTCTAGTGATGATACAACTGTCAATTTTGTTGAATTTGCCATAGTTATTCTTTCATGAAAGTCGATCTTATTTATTTGATAAAAAGGTCTCTGTGAATTTTGATATTAATATGGGATTTTTCTTTTTGAGACATGGTCTCACTATGTAGTTGGGACAGACCTGGAACTCACTATGTAGCCCAGGCTGGTCTCAAACTTGCAGCGATCCTCCTGCCTCAGCCTCCCGAGTGCTGGGATTATAGGCATGCGCCACCACGCCCGGCCTGATATTAATTTGGATTTTATACTTAATCATTAAGAATTACCCCTCGTCATCTTTTTTTTAAGAGTATTTCATTTCATACAACTTCAACTGATTCATTTACCCCCCCTTTTCCTATTTTGAGAATGTCAGGCTTGCCCTTGAAGTTGCAATCTTCCTGCCTTAGCCTTCCTAATTGCTGCTATTACTCCAGTGAGCCTCAATATCTATCTGACTGATTTTATGTATATGTGTGTTTCTGAACACTGAGGTGAGGGACTTTGCACTGAGTTATAATCCCAGCATTTTTATATAACTCATTTTGTGGCAGTTCCTCATGTCTTGATTGGATCTTTTATTTTTAGATGTTATTTTCTTGAGTTTTTTAATATATTTTTGATATTAGTCCTCTGTCTGAGGAAAATTTTTATTTCCATTCTATAGGTTGTCTCTTCTTTTACTGTTTCCTTATCTGTGCAGCAGCTTTTTAATCTGTTATAATCTCCTGTATTGATTCTTGATATTATTTCTTATGTAGTTGAGGTTCTGTTGGTTTTTTTATTGTTGTTTTTGTTTTTTGAGACAGCGTCTCACTATGTAGTTGAGACTGACTTGGAACTCACTATGTAGCCCAGGCTGGACTCAAATTCTCAGAGATCCTCCTGCCTCAGCCTCCCGAGTGCTGGGATTGAGGTTCTGTTAATAAAGTTGTTTCCTATACATATGTCTTTAAGATTTTTATATATTTTATCTTCTGGCAGATTTAGTGTTTCTGTTTTCATGTCAAGGCTTTTGATCCATTTCGACTTTAGTCTAGTGCATGGTGAGAGATACAGATAGTTTCAATATTCTGCATGTGGGTAGCCAGTTTTCACAGCACCATTTGTATTAGAGGCTACCTTTCCTCCATCATATGTTTTTGGTGGCTTTGTCCAAATTAGATGTTTCAGTGTGCCTGCAGTTGTTCCTGCGTCCTCTATTCTATCCCACTGATCCATATGGCTCTCTCTTTCTCCCTCCCTCTCTTTCTCTCTCTCTCTTAACAAGTACCATACTATTTTTTATCAGTGTGGCTTT